TCCTCCTCCCTTCTCTTCCCTGCACCCATCATCCTCGCACACCCACCCATTCCCCTCATTCTCCTTCCCTTCTCTCCTCTGCACTCACCTTCCTCGCACACCCACCCACCTTAAAACATGTCCCAAGTCGACTTAGAGCAAAGGCCCCACCGTCGCTCATTCTCCAGAAGCGCCAACGGTGAAAGCTGTGTCTGCTTCTTCGACGCAGACGACGGGTCGTGTTACTCTCAATTCTTCTCCACCAATGGCGGCTCCTACAACGAGTACAATTTTGCGTTCGTCTCTGATCCTCAGATCGGCATGGTGTCAGATTCTCGAAGAGCGTCGTCTGTCTCGAATTGTTCGGTCGAGGTTGTCGAAATTGAGATTGGAGTGTTGAAAATTAAGGTGCATTTGGATAGAGTAGAGAGAGATTGTCGGATTTGTCATCTGGGTTTAGAGAGTAACAACCACGAATTCGGGGCTCCGATTGAATTGGGTTGTTCTTGCAAGGATGATTTGGCTGCTGCGAGAGGAAGAAGAATGGGTGTTGGGTCGGATTTGGCATGGGCATTCGGGATAGGGTTTGGGGATATGAGTCGTCGGTGAGGAGAAGCAAAACCCAGAAACCCAAATACCAAACCCCATAAAAATAAATACCCAATTTTTTTTCTACAGAAAAATCACATCTTCAAGCAAAAAAGCTTCAATCTTTACTCTACCTAACTGGGTTTTTCTCAATGTTTTCAAAAACCCATCTTAGGAACTCCAAGAACTGACTTGATTTGATTCAAAAATTGAAAACAGCAAATGGGTTTTCTCTCAAACCCTGTTTCCAATTTCTCCCTCTATCTGCTTCTGTTATTCTTTCTCATCAGTTTTGAGCCCATCCCAGTTACTAAATCTGCCACTGACATCACCTCCTTGGAAGAAGTGTGCGGGGAAGGTGAATGCAGAGGAGAGAAGGCAGGGAGAAATAGGGGAATGGGTGGGTGTGCAGGGAGGATGGGTGCAGGGAAGAGAAGGGAGGGAGAAGGAATGGGGGTCGGGAGGTAGACCTGGCATTTTGGACCCGACCCGTTAATCTGATCTGACCTGACTCGTTAATATTAATATTTGTGTGGATGCTTAACGAATCGAGTTGCTAACGGGTGAACTAGTTAACAACCCGTTAAATAACGGGTCACTTTGGATCAACCCATTAGACTCGTTAGCACCAGTTAGTTGAGGATGTTTTAGTAATTTCAATAAAGTCTTAACAACAAAAAATAAACTCTTTGCAAAAAAAAATAATAATAATTGTTAACGGGTGAAACGGATGACCTGTTAGCTTAATGGGTCGGGTTGAACCCAACCCAAACCCAATAAACTCGACCCGTTTACATGTCACATCCCGGCCCAGGCCCCCACCACATCCCGGGCTCGACTCCACCATAGCACGATATTGTCCGTTTTGGGCCCCGACCACGCCATCACGATTTTGTTTCTGGAAACTCACCCAAGAACTTCCCAGTGGGTCACCCATCCTGGGAATGCTCTCGCGCGAACTCGTTTAACTTCGGAGTTCCGATGGAACCCGAAGCCAGTGAGCTCCCAAAAGGCCTCGTGCTAGATAGAGATGAGAATATACATATAAGGCTTACATGATCCACTGCCCTGGACGATGTGGGATGTTACATTACAGGTCTATCGGGAGGGGTGAAGGTGAATGCCCAAATTTTTTTAAAAAAAAAAAAAAAAATTTTAATTTTTAATTTTTTAATATTCATGTGGACCCATATTGACATGTGGGGCCTAATCATTATCCACGTAGGCACCACGTCATCAGTTAACGGCTGATTTAACAGCCAGACTAACGAATGTGTGAGACTGTCCCAAAATTATCACTTTAGGTATGTCTCTGAGACGAAAAAAACTTCATGTACCAAATGTTGAAAGTCATGAAACTTGAGCGTAGTAAACTGAGATTTACCCTAAATATAAATAGCACTTGACAAAAACTGATCACATGATGTACGGTGAATAGACATAATTTGAGAATTCTCAAAATCTTCAAAAAGAGGATCCTCATTATTTTTTGTGAACGCATTGAATTTTTGTTCACGGAAGGTGAGGTGTTTTTTTTTTTTGGGTCAATTGAAGGGAAGAGTTTTTAGTGCTAATTTCTGAAATAGTTGGCATTTTTTAATTAAAAGAATAAAATATGCAAGACACATAATTTTCTTCTCTTATATGCTCCAAGACACAAAATTTTAGGTGGAGATCTGAACTCTCTTACCTCTTGATAGTGTTGAAAATAAAGGGTGCAAATCAACTCATTAGATAATTAATAAGTAATCATTAAGATCCGTTTAGTTTGATTTTACTATAATATGATGGTGAAATTAGTAGTGGTGATGATTGTGTATACTTTAGGGTAGTGCTAATCACACACATTTTTTACCTCTCACACTCTTGTTAAATTTGCCTATTGATCTTCTTCAATTCATTTGATCCGACGGTTGAAAATTGAGATGTGTGTGTGAGATGTAGAAATGAGTGTGTGGATATGACCACCAATACCTTATTAGGATGCAATCAAACTAAAAGGTTTTAGACTCTTAATGGCTACCCATTAATAATCATTTCTTAAAACATCAGTTTAAACTAATGTCATTTGGTTAATCAACTATGACAAATAGATTAACAGTTTCTAATCTTTTAACTGAATTCATGGGCTTCAGATTGGTTTTGTCTTACTTACTGCCACTGTGACATTCTAAACTGATAATGCACTAATAAGTACGTCACCTAGATGCTACAATGATGTGCCCATGTTGGCTAGTCCTTCTTGAGATTAAATTGCATTCTAGTGTGATTGGTAGTCGGCGAGGCTTTAGTCGACTATGCCGGTTATGCCGACCACGAGACCCATGCTCTGGGAGTTGTGAGGGGAGGGAGAGCTTGGTGGGATCGGGGTTGGGTATAATAGGCCCCATGTTTTTTTTTAAATTTTAATTCTTATTTATTTAATTTTTTAATATCTACGTGACGTCTAGTCATTGTCCATGTAGGTGCCATGTTATCAGTTAATAGAGATTTTGACAGAAAATTTAACGGATGTATGAAAGTGTCCCAGAATTATGACTTTAGGTACTACTCTAGGACGAAAAAAACATGATGTACCAAATGTTGAAAACCAAGAAACTTTAGGATAGTAAACTGAGATTAACCCTAAATTTATTGTCTCTCTTTCTTAACACCTTCCCACAGTTGATAACCCCCACCCCAACCCACGAAGCCCCACTTTTTCAAATTTTAATCCAAAAATTTGAACATCTTCAGCACTGCATAAACATCCTCCCCACCATCTCTCTTTCCACACCACTATCTCAATCCATCCCATCTTTTAACAAATAACACCTCAACACACTGTGTTTGATTTACAAAACTTCGTGTTTGTGGTTGAAATCGTTTATATTATAAATTACTCTAAATTTTTTTTAAATCAATTAAAACCAAGGTCGTTTAGTTAATCAACTATAACAAAAAGATTGACAGTTCATAATAATTGAGCTAAATCAATCCATTTGTAGGTTGCGCGCTTGTTGATTAAAGAATTCATATGCTTCAGATTGATTTTATCTTACTTACTGGCGCCGTGACATTCTAAACTAATAATACACTAATAAGTACGTCACCTAGATGTTACAGTTACGTCGGCATAGTTTAGTCCTTGTTGAGATTAATTGTATGATGGTGAGACTGGTAGTGGTAATGATTGTGTAATGCTTTATTATGGTGAAATCAAATTAAATAGATCTTAGACTCTTAATAGTTACCTATTAATAAACCAATAGGTTGATTCATCACCTGTGATCTAAAAGACAATTTCAAATCGTAGGGAATCTCTAATGGTGAAAGACTATATTATTAGCGCTCCTTCATTTTGTTGTCTGAAATTCACTTGTTTTTTATTTTTTCCAAGAATTGAAAAAAGATATTCAATAGAAAGTGCTTAGAAATTTCTTAAAAGAAATAGGTCATTAATTAACTTCAAAAATTCGAATTTAATCCGTAAAACGTGTAAAGGAAGGCCCCATCCCATGTGCCCCTTTTATGACCGTTGACCATTGAATTTGATTATTGCACATTCACTAAGTTGAATATTGGCTTACTTAGAAAAATTATGAGATACATTAATATATGACACACATTTATGAATTTAACAGTTGAATATATTCTTAGCCCTTCATAATGTTGTAGTGTAAAATTCACTTGCTTTTATTTTTTGCAAGAATTATAAAAAGGTACTCAATCGAAAGTGTTTGGAAATTTTTTGAAAGAAATGTGAAATACTAAGGAGATTTTTTAAAAGTGGGACTTCTCATAAACTCTCAATCACCTCATATTTGTAGCATATTTCCATGGTAATATTATAAAATATTATATAAAAAAATATGAGTTGACGGGAAATTCATAAAGAATTTCACTTTGAGAAAATATTCTTAACATAATTTCTCAAAAGAACTTGGTCATTAACTAACTTAAAAAAGGAGGCAGATTGTCTGCCCTCCTGTTTAGATGTCATTCTCATCCTCTCATATTTTGTGCGATTAAGGTTAAGTCATGTCAACATTTTATATTAATTTTTGCTTTTTGTCTTATTATCTCTATAAAAAAAATAATATAAAATGTTGACGTGACTTAACCATGACCGTACAAAATAAGAAGGGATGAAAATGGCATCCAAATAGGAGGGCAGACAATTTGCCTCCCCCCACTCTATTGTCCTTCGACGCCACTATCTCAATCCATTCCAGCTTTTAACAAATAACACCTCAAAACATTTTGTCTTTGTTTTACAAAATTTTGTTTTTATGGTTAGAACTGTTTATTTTATAAATTATTTTAAAAAAACAAATTCTTTTAATTAAAACATATTTAAAAGAAAATTTTAAAGTAGAAGCATTATCAATTATCAAATATTTTTTAAGTATGTGAAAGTGGCTAATCCGTGTCTCTACAAATTTTCAATTTGTGTCCTCCTGGGGCATCTGTAACTTCGTGCACACCCCTACCTAATAAGGACTACAATTTCTTTTTTTCTATAGTAAACTCTGATCTAGTCTCGGTGCAACTGTAGTTCAGATTCTCCATCTGCTATTTGATCTAAGAGAGAGAAGGATGGAGTTCATCCAAGTTTTCATCCTCATCGCCATTGCCATCGGGACTCTGTTGTACATGTGCTGCAGATCATTAACATTCTCTTCTTCGTCTTCTTCTTCTTCATCTACTGCGGCTGATTCTACTGCTGTTGCTGATGATGATGATGCTGATAGCCCCCCACGTCGAGAAAAGTATGATGTGTTTATCAGCTTCAGAGGTCAGGACACCCGCAATACATTTACCAGCCATCTTCATGCTGCCTTACTTCAGAAGAACATTGAAACCTACATAGATAACAGACTTCAGAGAGGAGAAGAAATTATACCTGCTGTTCTAGAGGCAATCGAGAAATCAACGGTTTGGGTGATCATTTTCTCACAAAACTATGCTTCTTCCACATGGTGTTTGGATGAAATTGTGCATATACTGAAATGTTACGGAAGAGGAGGCGGCTATGTGATACCCATTTTTTACCACACCAATCCGTCAGATGTACGAAAACAAGGCGGGAGTTATGCGGTTGCATTTGCCCAACACCAAAAACGTTTCAAGGACAGTATCGACAAGGTGCACGAGTGGAGGAAGGCTTTGTGGAATGCAACCAATTTCTCTGGGTTTGATTGCTATTATGGGTAACTAACTCATTCTTGAACTTTTCTAAAGTTGTCAATTTTCTTTAAACTTGTGACAATTTGATTTGTGCTAAGATTTGGTAAAGCATATTTAAGACTAACTATTGGTTTTTTCTACATAATCAGACGTACAGAGGCAGATCTAATTGAGGCAGTTGTCAATCATATTTGTACCAGATTGAGTTTTGAATCATCATGTGTTTTACAGGGCTTGGTTGGAATTGAAAGCCGCATCGAACAAATTGAAGAGCTATTGGACATTCATTCACCGGACGCTTGCATCACTACTGTAGGTATTTGGGGCATGGGTGGTGTTGGCAAGACCACCCTTGCTGAAACTGTATTTCACAAACTCTCTTCTAAATTCGAAGCGAGCTGTTTTCTTAGAAATGTCAGGGAGTACTCAGAACAAGGACATGGACTATATCACTTGGAAGAAACACTTCTTAAGGAGATGTTTAAGGAAGAAGTTCTGCCATCAACTTTTATTCGAAAAAGGCTCAGCCGCACAAAGGTCCTTATTGTTCTTGATGATGTGAGTAGTTCAATGCAAGTGGAACAATTAGTTGGCGATCGTTTTAATTATGGCAGTGGAAGTAGAATCATTATCACAAGTAGAGATAGGGGCGCACTTAGGAATACTGTTGAAGATGATAAGATCTACAAGGTTGAAGGATTAAAACCGGATGATGCTCTTCAGCTCTTCTGTTCGCGTGCTTTCAAGAATACTCGTATACATCTGGGGTTGGCAGAAAAGGCAATGCATTATGCAGGAGGCATTCCTTTAGCTCTTATACATCTGGGGTCCTCATTCCTAAGTTGCAAGAGCAAAGAAGACATGGAAGATGAATTGGACAAATTGAAACAATTTCCCAATGAAAATATCCAGAGAGTGTTGAGACTAAGTTATGATAGATTGGATAGCAATGAGAAGGGGATATTTTTGGATATAGCATGTTTTCATATAGGGGAGAATGTGAAGAAGGTAGAACAATTGTTAGATATTCGTAGATTCTATACGGTGGTCGGAATTAGCATTCTCATTGATATGTCTCTCATATCAATCGGTTCAAAATGGGGACGGGAAACCATCGAGATGCATAATCTGTTTGAAGAAATGGGAAGGACAATTGTTCAGGAACAAAGTATTGGAAATCCCAGCAATTGGAGTAGGTTGTTCAACGATAAGGATGTTTATCATGTATTGAAAAGTAACACGGTAAGAGTCAAATGCACTCAATTTTTTTCTTTTCTAGTTGTAGAAAAAACACATATGAGTCTCATCTTTATTAGAGATTAATAGAGATGGTAAGAGTAGCGTTTTTGCATTTATAATAACAAGTTAGATTCTTAAAAAAAAAAAAAAAATTTGATTGAATTTTTATTGTGTTAGGAAGTCTTTGGAATACGAACAAATGTTTGTTTTTTTAAGACAAGTAGAGGAGGATACAATTATCTTGGATATTTTACTAGACACTTGTACATCATTACCATCACAAATACTCTAAATTATTGTATAACGTTATAGAATTCTTTTTCCAAATGCGCATTACATTTTAACATGTTGAAAACATATATTTTCACATTTAAACTTTCTTATTGTCAGGAAACTCCAAAGGTTGAAGCCATGTTTGTTTTTTTAAGACAAGTAGAGGAGGATACAATTATCTTGGATATTTTACTAGACACTTGTACATCATTACCATCGCAAATACTCTAAATTATTGTATAACGTTATAGAATTCTTTTTCCAAATGCGCATTACATTTTAACATGTTGAAAACATATATTTTCACATTTAAACTTTCTTATTGTCAGGAAACTCCAAAGGTTGAAGCCATACGGGTTAATTGGTCTAAGATTGAAGAGCGACCATTGAAATGTGCAGACTTCAAAAAGATGTCTAACTTGACAATGCTAATTGTGGACGCTGGCTACAAATTCAACGCTTCTCTAGACCTTCCCGATTCTCTTCTTTATCTTTACTGGGAAGGATATCCACTGGAATCTTTGCCATCAAATTTTTGTCCAGAAGATCTAGTTGAGCTTCATATGCCATATAGCAAAGTTAAGAAGCTTTGGAAAGAAGAGCAGGTATATTATATTATATTATATGCCTATTTTAATTCTTGTATAAAATCAAGTGTAGAAATTCTATTAATTCTTTATATTTCTATTTACTCTTAATACAGAGACTTGTGAACTTACAAGTGATCGATCTGCATGACTCAACAAATCTAACTGAAGTTCCAAATCTCTATGCGAGTCTAAAAATTGTGAACATAAATCTCTCTGGCTGTGAAAGTTTGGTTGAAATCCCTGAAGGTCTCGTTTGCTCAACCTCATTGGAATTTTTGGATCTGTCTGGAACCAAGATTAGGAGCATACCTGCAAGCATCAAACAAGCTTCTCGGTTGTCTAAACTCAACATAGTCAACTGCAAGTGGCTTCAATCTTTGCCAGAACTCCCACTGCAATGTAATGTCGAAGCTGAAGGCTGCACGGCGCTGAAGGCTGCACGGCGCTGAAGAGAGTGGCAAGTTCAAGAAATAAGACTGACAAACAGGCAAGGCTCTTATTATTTTAGTATTGTTTATACATTATAAAGCGCAATGTTATAGACAAGTGTGTTTAATATCATGTTTGTTATCTTTTATCAAGTCCAGCGGCATCTTGCAATTCGTCTTTATAGCATAAACTTTCACATTAATTAATACGCAAAGCTCAGGGCAAAGTAAATATCTCACGACCAAGAGCGATAGTTTGAACATTCAATGCTACAAAAATTCAGGATGGTTCGATGGCTGAGATGCAATGAGCGAAAAATATGAATGACCCAATTGGACTAACACCGGCAAAACAGTGTTCTTGTTTGAACAAAAAAAAGATCAGCAGAACAAATTTTATTAATGGGGTAAAATGTTACAGCCAAGTAAGGTCGAAAAAAGAAAGGCACAGCCCCAGTTTAATAATACAATCATCAAATTTGTAACAACGATAAATCTATAGGGGTCTTCGCTTCAATAGGACTAGGAACATTCCAAAATTACGGAGAAAAATCATAAGCTAAAGGAAAAAAGAATGAAGACAAAGCGAGTTGCATACACAAAGAAATGAAATACAAAAGACACATTACAAGCACAGTGATTTCAAGCATAAAACATGGCATCGGCCCGTAACACTCACGATAGAAAGGCTTGGAACGGCGAATGGCAGACACAAAAACGAAGCCGAGCAACTACCTGACTAAAATGCACTCCAATGATCAGAGTCTTTTCTCGGAGTCTCCAATGACGTCCGGAGAGACGTCCGGAAAGGCCCTGAAGACCCAAATGGGTCCAAGTCTCTTCTTGGAGTTTGACCGTCGAATGATGTCCTAAATGGAGAGGACCCAAATGCGTCCGAGTCTCCTCTTGAAGTTTGACTGTCAAATGATTTCCTAAACAGCGCCGCTGAAGACCCGAAAAAATCTGATTCACTTCTTGGAGTTTGACTGTCCAGTGACGTCCGAAATGGACCTGAAGATCCGAAGGGGTCTGAGTCTCTTCTTGGAGTTTGACTGTCCAGCGATGACCTAAATGGCGCCGAAGAGCCAAAAGGGTCTGGGATGTCATCAAATGTTGGAAAACCATTACCCTGATCAAAATCTCTACTGCTGTGCATAGAATCAAATCTTCTGAGTGCTTCTGGTTGAGGAAAAAATCCAGTATCTTGTATGCTTCTGAACGAATCAAACCTAGAGAAGGTGTCAAATGAAGGTTCTGAGCTATCCTTGTACCTTGGCGGTGAATACCCTGAACTTAAGGCTGAGAGTGGTGTGCTAGGAACAGAATCGTCGAAAGTAAAAGGGCGGCTCTTCTGGGAAAAGCCACCTCCTTGTGATGACCCAGTCCTGATAGGGTTGAGGCCGAACTCCCCAGGGCCAGAAAAGTAGTGATCCTTATAACTCTCCTGATCCTTATCCTACATCAGACACGATTAAGAGCAGTTACAGCACAATCCAGCATGCCAGCAATAACAACAAATATAAAACCACAAAAACAAAAAGCTTGACAGTGCTACGTAACCGACATGTTATTAGAAAAGAAAGTGGATTCACCGGAACCTAGAATCCATGCCTACTTGGAAGGTGCAAAATAATGGAAACTTTCCATCGGCTACAAAATGTTAGCAAGAAGTATTTCTAACATGACAATGAATGCTAGTTTTTTAACTTGAAATTTAACTTTCCTTTTTCCAGTCACTATTTTTAACCATGATTAATACATTGTTAACCGGAAACCGTCAATATTCGACAAGTGTGCGCAATATGGCACCATCTCTTGTCAATGTCAAGTTGTCAACACAAAAAAGATCTTGACTAAGACTAACCAAGACCTAAGGCTTAAATCAGAGTCCCCTTCAATGTGCAATTAATTGCACCAAGAACAATCCCGCAACCCCTTCTTTTTATATCTACAGTGAACCAAAACTAAAATCAGGAAACTCGGTTTCACCATACTTGGTTGAAAGACCCCTACTACTAACTGATGTGCATGATGAAACCATCAGAGTGGTGAAGATAGAAACTATTCAAATAATGTTAAAATTCCCAGAACCATCTTTAATAACTAAACAACTCAGCAAGCATTAGGACACTTGAGGCAATCTCTTAAAACAAGGATAAGTGGTCACCACCTCAAACAACTAGGTGGGTATTAACAGCAATCATGGAGCAAGATCCAGTCAGCATAAACACAAGGTCAAAGAATTGAGTTCTAATAAATAAATACTGAATGCACTCTAAAATACAAAAATAAAAAATAAAAAATAAATAAAAACTAAAAATTACTGAATGTACAATATTGGCATACCTTGGTGGTACTAACTGCATTGAAACCCCACACCGAGTCAACATCATCATTAGTGTCAAACGTCCCCCATGCTGGTTCATCGGAACCTTTGTCACCAGAAAACATAGACCCAGCACCCGCATGATCATCACTGCACATGAAAGTTTAGAATATCAACAATTTTGCACGTATCAGGGTGACCTTAAATATGTAGAAAACTACAGATCTAGAACAATACCTTTGAGATTCCTTATTACGGGATGAGGCATCTGCGTCTGTTGTCTTTCCATAGTTAGAATCTGAAAATTCTCTAGATGGGCTTCCAACAGTACTGCTGGCAAATGGACAGTTCGGAGCACTTTTTGCTGACTCGTCCTCATTTTTATAATATGCTGCTCCATTTTCAACCTTGGCATCTGTACTTTGGACTCTCAAGTGGGGGAGCTTTTTCTTTCTGAACTGATGATGATTTCTGTTTTGGAGGTGCCAAGACATTTGACACATCAAGAGTGAGCTCCTCGACAAAAGTGAATCCTGACAATTAAACTTCTGAATCAGTCACCTCAAATAGTTAAAACTCCTAAACAGGTTGGCAAACCACAACCAGACAACAAAAACTACAAAAGGCAGGCAATATGATCCATTTACCACAAGGTGAAAAGGTTAAAGGATTCTAAGTGCTACAAGAAATTTATTATCTCAAAGACAATACTGGACCATAATAGCTCATTTTTGGCATACCTTCATCTTCAAATTTATCCCAATCCTCATCCCAGTCAGCAGCTCCTTCTTGGATGCCAGGTTGCCAGCCTATATGAAAATAAAATAAAATTTCAGATTACAAAATGCAACATAGTACAAATACTGCAGCAGTGAACAATAACACAAAAGAAAATGTGAAAGCTACATAGAATACGAATACTGATAATCCAACAAACCACAGTGATTAAGAAAAGATTATAATAGTGAAAATAAGGGTTTCTGTGTAGGATATTGATAACTTAACAATAGAAATGCTCTGAATAAATTGAAATAATTTGACTACCCAAAGCAAAAGTATATCCAAAAACAATGTGTTCTATGTACAATCCATCAGATAGATAAAGAATAAGCTAATGTAAGTACCCTTATCATTATATATAATATTCTTAGATTCCCAAGAAATTAGCTAAGAGTTCAACTTACCAAAGGGAAGCTCAGTTAATGTTGTAGGCTTTCCACGTAATCTGTACTTCTTGCAGCGCTCATTGAGAGTTTTCACAAGCCCATCAAGATCTAATTGGAAGCGATCAACACGATCCGGAAAATTTCAGTTGGAAATGATCTTAGACAAGTTGAGCAAAGATATTTTTTAAACAGCAAGGTTGTGCAAAGGTACCTGAAGCGTGCCATCACCATCACCTTGCTCCATCTTGACAATTGCCCTGTATAGCTCCATTTTCTTCTCCTGCATATAAATCACATAAGATAATCAGCCCAGTGATAATAAAAAGAATACACCGCTAGGAGTATGACCATTCAACTGATTGGCACTTATCTCAACAGCTATCTATCCCAACAGGCCTAAAAACTATAAAATAATTCTCTTTGTTTCTCCAAAAAGTAAAACGTCCTACTCATACTTGTTTCTGAATTTTGATTGGCACTTATCTCATAAAAAATAAAAGCACACCATCTCACATCACATGTACAGGCAATTATGACTCAGATCTAACCAAACAAACAGCAAGCATTTGGCACCTTGATCTTCGAATGAGCAAAAGCAAATACACAACATGGGGTCACTAATTGTCCACAAATTTATATGTGGTGAAAGGTACCTGTAAATCACGAAACGTGGCTTCTTCAATAGTCAACTTGGAAGCTACATCTCCAGCTTGTTTGTATTTCTCTTCATCTTAGCCAGGGACTCAGCCTAAATTCATGTAGTATTCATTAAGCCAAGACGGTAGGTAAAGATTAATGCAAATATGTGCTTAGTATAGAAACAGAAAACTTCCTCTGTAAGTTTTCTAATTGTATTGACTTAACTGAACAATTGTACACTGTGAGGATATATATATAGCCTTTGGCTATTTACAACAATACCCCTTAACTGCCTAACCTTATATCAACCCTAACTAATTACAATCATTAGCACAGCTAATCACATTTAGATATAACTAACTATTTTACAGTAACTGAAATGGATGACTTGTCATTCTCCCTAATACACCCCTTTAAGCTAGAATGGGAATCAGAACAGATTCCAATTGGAAGCTTGGAGCACAGATAGTGGAATTGACTTTTAGATAGGGACTTGGTGTGGAGATCAGCCAATTGATCTTCACTGCACATGAACTGTACTTTAAGAAGATTAGCCATAACCAATTCTTGAATATAGTGGTAGTCGATCTCAACATGCTTAGTGCGAGCATGAAAGACAGGATTACAGGCTAGGGAGATTGCGGAGATGTTGTCACACCAAAGAGTAGGCAGTGTAGGTAGAGAGAAGTGAAGATCTCTAAGAATTTTGCAAACCCAAGTGATTTCTGCAGCTGTGTGAGCTAAGGAGCGATATTCAACTTCTGTAGAGGACCGAGCCACTGTACTTTGTTTCTTGGCACTCCAACTAATGAGATTGGAGCCTAAGAACACACAGTAACCACTTGTAGAACGTCTATCAAATGTACAGCCGGCCCAATCAGCATCAGTATAGGTTGAAAGATGGATAGGACCCTTTGTGAACCACATACCATGGGAAATAGAACCTTTAAGAAACCTGAGAACTCTTTTAGCTGCTTGAAGATGTTGTTCCCTAGGAGCATGCATGAATTGGCATATCTGGTTCACAGCAAAGGCAAGATCCGGTCTAGTCCAAGTTAGATATTGTAAACCACCTACAATAGAACGATATTCAATGGGATTGGACAAGAGAGGCCCACTGTGATCAAGTTTCATGGAACTAAGAGGTGTGCAGCATGGTTTTGCACCCTCCATGTTTGTTTTCTTGAGAAGATCAAGTAAGTATTTGGTTTGATGTAGAAAAATGCCCTATGAAGATCGGTGTACTTCTAAGCCCAAGAAGTAGTGTAAAGGACCAAGATCCTTTACTGGAAACTGAGAACTTAGTTGGTTAATAAACTGTTGACAGAGGTGAGAGTTTGGACCAGTCACAAGAATGTCATCAACATATACTAGGACAATAACAAATGAGGACCATTGAGAACAAACAAGGATGCATCAGAGGATGATTGTTTGAATCCAAGAGAATGAAGGGCTTGATAGAGTTTGTCAAACCAGGCTCGGGGGGCTTGTTTTAGTCCATATAATGATTTTCTCAACTTGCAAACATGACTAGGAGAAGTAGGATCAACAAATCCGGGAGGTTGTTGCATGTATACATCCTCCTTTAAGTCTCCATGAAGAAAAGCATTGCTTATATCCAATTGATTAAGGAACCAATTATATTGGACAGCAAGAGTGAGGAGAATGCAAATTGTAACCGGCTTTGCAACCGGACTAAGGGTCTCTTGAAAATCAATACCCTCTTGTTGATGAAAACCCTTTGCTACAAGGCGAGCTTTGTACCTATCAATAGTACCATCAGCCTTTTTCTTAACTTGAAACACCCACTTACAGCCAACTAAATTTTGAGAAGGATTAGAGGGGACTAGTGACCAAGTACCAGTAGAGATCAAGGCATTGTATTCATCTTGCATGGCTGCTCGCCAGTGAGCATGCTTAGAAACTTGCAAGTAAGTACTGGGAACATAATCAAGATCAACAGGAAGAGGATGTTTGGTTGCTGCATAAACCTGAGACTTAGGTTTACATATGCCAGCCTTGGATCTTGTAATCATGGGATGAGAATTAATGGGAATAGGAGGATGACTTGGCAAACTGTGTGGTAAAGGTGAGGGTTCTGAAACAGAAACAGAACTAGAAGAGATACGTACTGAGGTACTAGGAGAAGCTGAACTTGGAGGATGGGAGACGGGCAGAAATATTGGGAATATAGTTATCAAAATAAAGATCCAGACATGAAGAGCCTGCTGGAGATGCTGCATCTTGATTAATCAGGAGGTTGAAGTGATTGAAATGGATAGGTAGTTTCATCAAAGAGAACATGTCTGGAGATGTAAATTCTATTTGTATGGGGATCAAGACACCGATAGCCTTTATGTTGTAGGCTATATCCTAGAAATGTGCAACATTTACTCTTGGCATCCAATTTGCTGTGAACATAGGGTTTGAGCCAACGGAAGCATTGGCAACCAAACACTTTGAGTTTGGAGAATCTAGGGGTTGGTGAAATAATAGTTCCCATGGTGACTTGGAAACACCAGAGATAGGAAGCCGATTAATGAGATACATTGCAGTGGAGAAAGCTTCAACCCAGAAAACAGGAGGAACATGAGAAGCAACTAGCAAAGTACGAGCTGTCTCAACAAGGTGCCTGTGCTTTCTCTTAGCACCAATGTATTAAAAGTGTGAGGCGTGGGCGAGGCGTCCGAGGTGAAGCCCGGCCTAGGCGTGAGGCGTGAGGCGAAGCCTTACGAGATTTAATTTTTTTTTATATATATGTTTTATATATTATACATATAATTGTATAAAAATAATACTATGTAAAATAAACATCCATTCTCAATTTTTCATTCAAATCCATAGTCATTCAAAAGATAATATCATCTAAATTCATCATTCAAAGGTAATATCATCCAAATTCATCATTCATCCAAATCCTCTTCATAGAAATCAAAATACAAACAAAGATATCAATCAATCATCCAAATCCTCTTCATCTAAATAAAAGGCATCATCGTCTTCATTGCCAACTCTAGATGAACTTGTAAGGTATGTCATTAATTAATTAATAATAATAAACGGGTTATACATCAAAACATTATAGCTCTAAAACCCTTTTCACTAATTACAAACTAAACTACTTTGTTTTGCCAACTTTATCAAATGGCTTCTCAAAAACTTTCAAAAGTTTGTGTATTATTTTTTTATTTTCAATCAAGATCGCACTTCTTTCAACGGCATGCCAATAGCTTACTGAGTTTACTTTATTTGTTTAAATAAAGAGTGCAATGCTGCAGATAATTGTATTCTCCATTAATTAATTAACATTATTTATCGTGTCAAAGTATTCAAAATTCAATTAAATCCTTCCCCACTCCCCAGAAACAAGGCACCACGCAGAGGCAGAGCTCTTCCCCCAAGAAAACCTTCCCCAGAAAACTAAATCCCTAAGTTTTTCTGAAACCCTAACCTTTGGGATCTTGCTGACGGCGCTGGGCTGACGGCGGCGAGGTGATGGTGGCGACGGTGCTGCTCCAAGCGGCGTGGTGTGGCGGCTGTGTTCTCTGTTCTGGGCTTCTGGCGCGCGGGAGAAGAAGCAAGAAGGCAGGCGATCGAAGGTATGGAATGAAGAGGATGTTTAAAGCTGAAAATCCTTACCCAAACAGCATCGTTTTGGGTTTGGATGATTTTTTTAAAAAAAAAAAAAAAAAAAAAAAAAAAAAAAAAAAAAAAAAAACAGGGTCAGACACGGCGCCTGGACGCCTTGAGGCGCGCCGCCGCCGCCTCGGCGTCTCCGGCGAAGCATTTCGCCTACTCCAGCAAAACTGAGGCGTTTGCCTCACCGCCCAGCCTCAAGGGCGCCCTAGGCGCGCCTTGAGGCGAGTTCTTTAAAACATTGCTAAGCACAACCGTTTTGTTCAGGAGTATGGGGACAACTAAATTGATGAAAAATGCCATGTTGTCTGAGAAATGATGCAAAAGATGTGCTAATAAACTCACCCCCTGAATCTGAACGCAGAACTTTGATTTTATTGCCAAGTAAATTTTCTACATAAGATTTGAAGACAACAAATGTAGAAAATACATCGGACTTGGACTTCAAAGGAAAGAACCAGCTATATTTGCTAAAATCATCAACAAGAAGCAAATAGTACTTGAAACCACTATTTGAAATAACGGATGCTGGACCCCACAGATCACAGTGCAAAAGTTGAAGACTTTGAGTTGTTTTTGAAGAAGCTACTCCAAAGGGAAGCTTATGATTCTTTGCAAGTGCACAATCTGAGCAGAAGAAATCAACAGTGGACTTGCCTTGTAATGCCAGTGGATGATTAGAAATTACCCTCCGGAGAATAGAGGAGGAAGGATGACCCAAGCGCCGGTGCCAAACTTTAACAGGAGCTTTAATACTGAGCAAAGTTGTAGGTGAAGAAATTGAAGAAGTACTTGAGGCTTGAAGAGGATAGAATCCATCTCTAACCGGTCCCCGCAAAAGCATCTTCCCCGAAATACGATCCTTGATAGTGGATTCATAAGGGTCAAGGGTTAATGAACAATTATTATCCTTAAGAAACTGATAGGCAGACAAGAGATTATGTTTCATGTATGGAACATGTAAAACATTGCAGAGCTGAAAAGAATTATGAGGAGTATGTAAGAATGATGAACCAATATGATGAATAGAAAGTCCTTTACCATCACCAATATACACTTTGTCCTCGCCAGTATAGGGAGTAGGAGAAGAAATATTGGCAACATCATTGGTAATGTGAGAGGTGGCACCCGAGTCAATCAACCAAGATGAAGATGGTTTGGCAGAGTGATTGACATACATAGCAGCGAGTTTGGCTGGAGGAATCCGACCACAAATGTCTGGATTCATGCGATCAAAGCAGTCAATAGCCTCATGACTGGTAGATCCACAGATTTGACAAGGAACTTTGAAAGTGGAAGAACCTTGAGCTTGACGAGGACTTTGATAACTGCGATTGCCACGATTGTTGGAGTAATGACCACGGTTGTTATGGAAGTTACGATTACCTCTATGAGAGAAGGAATTGCCCCGATTATTCTTGCCACAATTGTGAGATTTTGGTTGGTGCCATGATTGAAGTTGGTGCTGAGCAG